CTCACAAATTGGAAGGAAAAGCTATGAAGGAGAAAGGGTAGCCTGAAGGAAAGAATTCAAGGGCAAGGGATGAATTGAATGTTTATTTCACGTATTAATCCTTCTCTGCTGTGCATTTGATAGACATGTACATTTGTGACACGTATCAAAACAACTGTACTTGAATCACCTGACTTTCCTTTGGTTTTCTTTATAGAGTGGACTGACTTCTAATGGGCCTCTGGGAAACGATGTTGCTTTATCTCTTAAGACAACTAAAATAAACACTGAAGCCCCATTGGCTACTGACTCATCACCTCCATTGTACCCCTGTGAAATCACACCCAGGTAAGGATTTTCTTTCCATGAAATTAAAACAGTCCTCCCTTCCCCTGCCTGTTATCTTCCACATGTTCCAGCCAGCTAGTCATCATGGGAAGTCTACAACATTAAGAGGACACCACTTTGAGGAACAATGGAATGCTGAAGGAATTGTACAAATTTTAGATTATTGTGTAACTTCTGTGCATGTCTTATATAATTTTTACAGAGCAATACTTACTGGATTCTTATTAATCCAGTTCTTCTGTTAGGTGTTGTGAACACTATAGTATGTTGCAATTCCCAAGCAGTCTGTTAAGTCTACCAAGTTTCACTAGTAATTTTCTGGTCCTCTTTATGACTCAACTTTAGCAATGTAAGAAAGTAAGACTATTATAGCTGACGTTCCATTTACAGTGAGTAATTTCATTAAGATGCTTTTAAAGGTGGGATGTCATTGGGTATATGATACAAAGATCCTTCTGTTCATAAATACCTTTTAAACTATATCTACTGTGTATCAGATACTTTAAATTACAGTGTTTCTGAAAGATAATGTGGATATTCGATGACCTTGTGTAGCTGCAGAGCTGAGCCTGAAGGATAAAAGGTTGGAGATACCTAACCCTTACTCACAGACCATACCGCCAGCATTTGCCTCCTTCCTTGGTTGCCTCCCACACAAAGGTTGGAGGAGAACTGTTGTTCTCTTTTCCACCCCATCAATGCTGGAATGTAGCTTTCTTTATTGTTTCCCTCCTGCTAGAGAACTCATTACATTTTCCAAAAAAAGGGGGAAAAATCCACCTGGAGAAAGAGGGGTTGTATCTCCTTTGGTTACATGAGGTTAATGTCCCTCAGGGAGATCCTGCTTAAAACCTATGGCTCCCTTCCAGACAAGGAATATATATCTACGTTGGGAATGCTAGCTGATATCACAACATGCTTGGAATTGTTTGCTTTCCACTTAACTATTAAATTAACATCAGTCAGATAGGCTTTCTGTTCATCGTCCACCTAAGTTTATGTTTATTTATTTTTTCTTCACAGTCCTGTTACTGAAGATACTACACGGCAGAAATGTTTACTCACCACTGAACTCTGAGCTTCAACAAATCTCATCTCCTAGTGTATTTAGTGAGCAAAGGACTTACCTGACATTAAGCCATGCTTATGCCATGGTTCACAAAGAATGGTTTCTTTACTGTAAATCCTTCAACTGGAACTAAGAGTATGATTTTAGGACACAGAGCTGCTGGGAAACCTGAGTATCTCTTGCAAAATATACGGGAACAAATTCTGAGATGTCATGAAATCCACAGGGTTTTCATCCACTATAATGCTTTTGCTAGAGAATTCCTTCCTGGTTTTATAGGTGCAAATGAAAATGCTCACAGAGATAAGCTGGGTTTTTTTTTCCGGCTTAAACCCAATTATGGGGAAGCTGGTGGCAACAGTAAAAGAAAATAGCAGTGACATTTTTACAGTGCTTTTTTGTGGCCATCTCTTTTTATCTTCTTTTGTATTGTTATCTAGCAAATGTTCTTGATTTTAATCTTGTTTCTAGACTCCACACTTCTCCACACTAACAATCTATGGAAGTGAAAATGCAGCACCTTGATTGCAATTTATTCTGCTGGCAGATGCTCTCTTAAGGAAAGAAACAATGTTTTATTAAACATATCGAAGCTACTACATGTGTGGATGGACGACTTTCACATCTTGTTCCATTAAGTCACTAAAATATTGCTAGGTAGTCAGTGGATCTAGTATGGGGTCCTTGGTGCTCTCTGAGCTTGGTTGTTTTCTTGCAGAAAACATTTGTTCTCTTGCCCCGTCAGTGTTAGTGCGAATGGTCTTTGTGGTTTCTTGATTTGGCTGTTGTTTATTATTAGCCTGTTTGACTGAGTTGGTACTGAGTTTACTTCTTGATTGTTGGTCTAGTGTTCATCTCTGCTCATCTGTGTATTGATTACTGGTGAGGAACTGTTTTAGTCTTTTTGTTTCTTTTTTGGTTGTTTGATTGTCTCTTTAGACAGGGTAAGACAGTAATATATATATAAAAGCAAAGCCCACTCCCTTTAGCACTGATATTTCATTACCAAACTAGGTAACATTGTCTGCAAGAAAACAACCAGATTCAGAGAAGAACCAAGAACCCTACCGTTCAGCCATGGGCTACAGATACTCTCTTGTATCAGTGAACCTAGTTTCTGTTAGATTAGCTTGAAGGGCTAGTCTTCTTTGGGCTTTCCACTAGCTATTTTTTGGAAAGTTCTAAAGTTTGAGCAGAAATAATCTGAGGCTTTTAAAATCACTTCAAATGCATAGTTAGAATTACTATCCTTTTTGTGTGCTTCATTCTGTACTTTTCTTCAAATCTACTTGTAGTTGGAATATGTACAGTATTTTGTTCGTGACTGGAAAATTAAAAAGCAAAATATACCAACATTATGCCAACTTTCCTATATTAGATGAGTAGGTATTTATATATCAGATTCCTTCCTTTGTGCACTAAACTGCTGTTTGGACTAGTTTGAACTAAACCTATATTCTGTTATAAATTCAGGGGGAAAAACTAAGCAAATCCTGAGTTTAATTTATGCTTAGAATTTTGGAAAACAAAAAAATGCCCTTGGGCTTGTCCAGTTAAGATTTATTCCTATGGGTCCGGTATCCAACTCATCCCGCATCTTCTGTTCCTTTTCAAAATAAGCAAGGAAATGCCTTAATTCTGATTCTTCCAAAACAGCTCTGCTTTGCTGTGCATTATTGAAATACCAATTTCTAAGTCATTTAAAAACATGACTTATTACTTCTTCATTTGTGTGTCTGATGGAAGACCTATAAGCATTTAGGCAAGAAAGCAAGGAGTGCCATGAATTTCTGGATGAACTCGAGGAAAAGCAGAAGGGCCCCGTCAAAAGTTTCTTTCATAGTGGAAGTGATGTTAAAAATGCAAATGTTCCTCACTCCACTGTACATGCTCTTCCTTTCATAGCTGGTTGCTGCTTGTGAAATAACACAAGCTACTTTGCTTTGATCTGCAATACTTGTTTTAAGCAATTGCTTCATAAAATAGTATAATGGGAACCAGAGTGGGGGAGAGGGAGTGGTTACTGAGGCAAATAACTTCGCGTCAATAACCATAGGACATATCCTGATTACCAGACCTCAGGAGGCATGACTTTTGAAATAGCTTAGGTAGCATTTAATTGGTTATTGATTTTTTAGACATTTCCCTGAGCCAAGATAAACCCACTGCTTTTAGGAACCTTGCCTGTATTTTTACAAGGGATGAAAATATTTAGGGTGACGCTATCTTAATTCTTGATGTAAGAATGAGGAGAGGTTGGTGAACACGGTGCTGTTTGCCTATTATCCAGAAAGATAGCTTTGCTAACTTTGAATTGTCTGGATAATCCTAACCACTAGAATCTTGTGTGCTGACTTTTTTTTTTTTAAATAAAAAAATCCAATGGCTGTTGTCATTTTATTTTACTAACCTGATGTACAGCCGTGACAACAAAAGAAATTAAGATAGCTAGTTCTCAATTTTGCTTTATAAAATATATATATATTAGGAATTACTCTTAAATTACAGTATCACTGCCTCGTTTACTGACTTGATCCTTACTCAATATAACTGACAGAATTTTCCAAAACACATAACCTATTTTCAGTTTTTTAAAAAAAGGAAACTCTAATGTGGTATGGAAAATGGAATACTATTATTATCAGCACCACATTTATCAGTGGGTAAAGTCTACTTGGCAGTTATGTACAAAGACATAAAATTACAGCTATCACAACATAAAGAATTGAAAGCCTTTTGTCAAGAGAACAGCCTCCACTGCAGGCTTCAGGTCTCTAATGGGGTATCTGGTGGAAACTGCCTTAGTGTCTCTTGTGATTGATTAAAATGGACCAAAACAGCAGATTCTTTTACTTTGACTAATGAATGCAAAATTGCAATTTGTGTTTATTACCAGCCATTGTTCACTCTCAAGCTGTCCAAAGAGGCTTAAATTAGCTTGCATTTTTAACGGGCAATCTTGTTTGACTGCTGAAGCTTTTCCTCTGGTAAAATCATTGTGAAGTTTTTCCTACAAATGCAATTTGCCTGCATGCATAAAGCCAAAAGTCATTCCAGATTTGTCTCTTTTTCTTTACATGTCACACATTACAGTACTTGTGTCTCTGGGTAAAGATGCCCCAAGTGGAACCACACCTTGTTGCTCCATAACTAAAGTGTCTGTGATTATTGAGGCAGAACAGTTTGGACCTCTGTTATTAACGCTAAGCATTAACATTCCTCTTGGAGCAAAATGTTCACCTATTCTCTGTGAAACAGAAACAGAGTAACTACAGAGCATTCTGCCATAACATTCCTAATGTGATTGTTTTGATTACAGATTCCTTTGTTCTCACATGTTTTCCCTAATTGGACAAACTTACTATGAAGTATGTAAGAACTTCTATTTTGATTGTTTTTTTTAAAGAAAAATCTCAGACTAACTACTGTATTTGTATCTTTTTAAACGATGTAGTTGCTCAAAGTATAACTTATTTTTTTAAGTATTGTGTGTATGAGTGTATGTGTGTGTAATAAGTCATGCCAGATGTACAAATTATGCTAGAATGATTGCGCTAAACACTGTATAAGGGAACAACAACTGTGATTTGTAGGCCACTTGGAATCAATCATAAAAGTTGTAGTTTATTTCTAAATACAACGCAATTGTACAAAATGTCTGCTTAAGTGTTTTTTCTTCTAGCAAAACAATGCTCTTAGCTGCTGATCCATGTATTTCAGAACGCTGACAAAATCGTCTGTTTCCTTAAGGATATCCTGGTTTGGAGTGATATCCTGCTTTTTGCAGCAGAAGTGACCCTACATTTCTACTTCCTGGTGATAACATATAAGCGAATGTTAACAAAAATAGCTGCAATGGGGAGGGGAAAGGAGGGCCGCATATTTGACTTTTCATCCCTAATGGGAACAATCAGCATACAAATGAAGAATCAACAACTCCTCTTGTTTCCCAGCTGCAATGCCCCAGGAAATGTGTCTTACAACATATCAAGTGTTCAGTCATCTTCAGCCAATCATGCAAATCATTCAGCAAGTTTATGTTTTGGCTTCCCCTCCCCCCCCCTCAATATGCCGCCATTTTAAAAAATCAGAAATACATATTATTATTATTGACAAAGTAATTAAAATCACAGTGAATAACATATTTACAAAATTAAACTAATATAGTTTAGCCCGGGTATAAAGATTCAGGCAGTATAAAAATATAATTAATAAATAACTTTCGTAGCATATAAAACATTTTCTTTAAAAAAAAAAAAAAGCATTCTCAAAAAGGCACCATGCAGGCTTTTCCTGATGCTGTATATACTTTTTCCCCTCTCAAAAATTAAGAAAGGGTAACTTTCAAGGGATCATTTTCTCAACGTGTAACGTATTTCGTATAGACTGCAGTTGGAAGTAACTATGACTCTTAAAAGGGACGTAGCTACAGGCTTGGCACCTCCTAGTGGTGACTGCTGGATATGGCACTTTAAGTGCCAGAACTAAGATCCAAGCCAGCCCTCCACAGGTCTAACTGCTTTGTGGAGGGCCTGTTACTAGATACTAGCCTTAATATAGAATCAGTCCTAATCCCCCCGGAATTATGAACACCAGTAACAGACAAGAACACCAATAGTCAACACAGAATGGACAACCATAACTTCCCGTGCTTCTGTGTTCCCAATTTAAAAGTAAAAGGGGCCTCAACCAACACCAATTACACCGCCACCCGGCAAAGGTGAACACCAAGCGCGTACCAGCCCTTCCCACCAAACGCCTGGCACTGACCCAGGAGGAGGATGAAGCACTAAAAGCATGCAGACAGACACTGGGAGAGGGGAATGATAAAAACAGTACTGTTCACCCTCCTTGCACCCTATTTCCTGGGTCGATCGCATGAAACGATTAAAAAGCATCTTCAATTGACCAATTGGGTTCCAGCAACTGACCCCCCAGAGAGAACAGAGCACTGTCGTATACCAGACCACCCAGAGAGATCAGACTCCACTACACACCACACCAGCCGGTTGCATCCCCCACAAATGGATCTGGCTTTGTTACTGCTATCTCATGGAGACACGCCCTCCTGGTAGCCGTGGCTAACCATCTCAAGAAGACCAAGATGGGGGCCAAGGAGCTGGCCCAGATCGCCCGAGTCTTTCAGAACGGAGAGATTAGCAGAAAGCAGTGCAGGGCCCGACTAAACCAGCATGCCAAAAGCTGGTTCCCACACACGTGGAAGACATCGGCGACCAAGCCTGCTGGAGCGAACTGCCAATGGAGCAATAAGTCCTTCCGTAGAGCAAACTATGCCCAGGTTCAAAAACTACAAGCTCCGGTGTTACGAAGCTGCCTCCACTGTCTTGTCCGGACGCTGGAGAAACACGTAGAAAGGACCGGCACCAGTGCCACCGGAGATGGAAGAATACTGGGCGGCAGTATTCACGACACCGAGCACAATCGATAGTGTACCTGCAGAGCAGCCTGCAGTCCTGTGGTCCCTCATGGCAGCCATAACCCCGTCAGAAGTCACAGCCGCCCCTTATACCGAAGACGGAGAATCCATTGTCTCCTGGGGACTACAGGCCTATATCGATTGCCTCGACCATCCTCCGGGCGCTCCACAAGATCCTTGCCTGGCGCCTCCGAGATATGCTCCAGCTCTCTCCCCTCCAGCATGCGTTCCTCCAACAAGACGACTGCAGTTGAATGAGTAATAGCAAAATCACTTCTGACATTACTGTGATGGTGCAAAATAAAAATAAGGAGCAAAATAAATGATTTTGCCAATTTCCAAAATGTTAAATCAGTGAATTTGTCCCAGAAAATACATAGCCATGTCTGTGAAATGACAGAGAGGCTCAGCCCAATGTGGATTTTTTATGTTAAACTAATGACATTAAATCAGTAAAATACTAGGCCAACTGAAAACCATTTTCCCTTTTCTATTCTGCACAAATGGCCTCTCCCTGGCCTGAAAAGCTGACCACCCATGTTCCACTCTCAGTGCCAAACTTCTCTATATAGTTGACTGTTTGCCAAAATCCTTCTTCTGTGATTTTGGAAACAAAACATGCCTAGGCATTCTTGGCAGTGTGAGCTTCACAAAAAAAAAAAAAAAACAAGAAGCATCACTGCAGGATATCGAATTATTTGTATGTGACATGCGTAAGGCCAAGTTGTGCTTGCAGTTGCATACTTGGTAGGGGATATGATAAAACGGATGACATCAGATTAAGAGAGACCTTAATCTGATGTCATCCGTCACAAATGCATGGAATACTGCAAATTGATACGGCTAGAGTGGATGAATGTATTTTGATCATATTCAGAGATCTATTTCTAGGCCACTTTCAAGTTATGGAAGGAGAGTGCTGTAATGCAGAAGTAATTGCCTGCATGCCGCTACTCTCTGGGTTGTAGGGTCAGAAAGAGCCACAACAAAAACAACTGGAGAACCTTATTTCGATGTGAATAAAGATTCTCTGAACTGTGCTGGAACAGACACAATTACTCTTATAGATCTATAAAGTTATATGGCTCTGGCACTTTAACTTGTATTGGAGGAGCTAATATAGGAGCCTGATGAATTTCATATTTAGGGGAAATGCTATTTTAAACAATACAGTACAACAGCTAAGCATATGCTAAGAAACACCCTCCTCCCCCGTTCAAATATCATTTCAACTGCAAACTCAAGATCATAGAGAGGAAGCACCTGTGTTAACCTGTTAAGATAGCCAAACAATTGTTAATCTAACATATATCAGAATCCACAAGATTAGTTTACAGTGCAAATGCAGAATATTGGGTTTGCTGAATAAATGATGGTTAAGTTTTAAGTTTTCCTTGCATTAGCATGTAAGCCTGCCATGCCAACGCAGCTGCTGAACTGAGCTTAGTCATGGGAATGATTTCACTGCATCCTTTATACAGGCAATTTGCAAAGGGCTTTGAAATGGCACATGCACACAAAAAAATGAATGCAACAAACGGCTGCTGTTGCTGTTTCCTATTCATGCTGCCTCATCTACATCTGCAGACCCAAGTTGTTCACAGAGCAAAGAGATGGAAAAAATCTCACACTAAATGTTTTACGGATTCCCGTGTATTTCGGTGGTCATACAAAGTTTGAATTTAGGTTTCATGGTACAATTGCAATTCTTTCTAGATGCTGACTTCACTGAGCTTAGGCATGTCTTCTACCTCTTGAGAGTGGTCTGGTATTTAAGTTCCGTTTAGTTCAATTTGCCAAAATGAGATTGCAGACGAACTGGACAGAGGTTTACCGCCAACAAGTAGCATCACAACAGAGGATTCACAAATGTCTCCACGTTCATTTTTCAGAGTGTCCAAGCTTGACCCTCTATCTGTTAGATCCATGGTGGCAAATTCCTGTTCCTTGGCAATGTTGAGATATGAGGTTCTTTCTTCACACAGCAACTCTGCTGCCGGATCTGAATTCAATTCTGCACTGGATGTGGTTTGATAGGAAGTGAATCCTAGAGAATCCCTTGAAGACTGGCAAAACGTTTTCATTTCTATGTCAGAGCCACCCTCGTTGTTGAGTATCTGGTACATGGGCTCCTCGTGAAGATGCTCAAAGAAACAGGTGTGCTGTTTAGAAAGAGTCAGTAGCTTTGAACAACGCTTTTCTTTAGACTTCAAGCAACCAAGCGATCTCAGTGGGCAATCAGCAGCCGCTTGGGAACCAAATCCAGTTGGCAGCATCTGGTGATATGCTTTGGAAGAAAGCGCCACTGGGCTAGGCAATTTTATCCACATTTGAGATGGGAAATGATATTGCCACAAAGTACTATTTGGCTTATTGCTAGAAAGTCCTCCGCCAAGGACTAGCATGGAATCTTCCAAGATTAAAGCCGAATGTCCCACCACTCTTGGAGGTCCCTGGCTGGAGGCAAACATAGCAGAGATAAATCAGCACAAGGGTGACACACACGCTCATCAAAATGGGCTCAACTTCCCAATGCTTCTCTCCAGTCAGGGTAATGCATGGAAAAGTCATGAACCACTTTCTATACTTTCCACCCCAAACAGTTCCCATAAATTATGTATTCGGGTATTGTTAAAAGGCATGGGAATATTGTCCATGCTCCTTAAATTGTCTCCTCTGTGCAAACACTATCCATTCATAACTGGGCAATGGCTGAAATAAAAGGGGTGAACCATGTAATCAAAAATGTTTGCTTCTAGAAAAATAAGACCCTCCCTTCCAACAGTACCCATATTAGAAACTTCAACTCTGTATCAAGGTTTTCCTTGCCTGTGCCTTCCCATGCCACTCAAGTCCTCCTTGGACAACCTTCTCCCTGTTTTCAATTGATGTTCAAACATCTTTAAATCCCAGCTAACATAAGTGGAACATTGTGATGCTAGTCTTCACGGGTTAATGTGTAAAAAGATTGACTTGCTCTTCTGTGCAACTCTAGGAACAATTGGCAGGGGAGAAACAGTTGTATCTTCACCCTCTTAAACTCCTTTTGCAACTGCTAGCGAAGTTACATTCAAACAGTTACCTTCTCCTGATACTGGACCAGTTGGTGGCTATAAAATCCCACATCCAGAAGTCCTTCTGTTCACTCAGTCCCATTAATCCTCCAAACAAGTACATGCCATTGCCATAAACCACAGCAGAATGACCATGTCGGGGACCTGGGCTACTCCCGCTGGATGCAGCTGATAGAGGGGCCCATTGTTTTGTATCTGAAGGAAGATGGTTATTAGAGTTCATTACCTTTTAAATAGATGCAATACATTTTGGATGTTTCAAAGGGTTTTTCCTCGCATCTCGCATTATTTACCTATTAGATGAGTAATGGGTAAATAATGCTGAGAAAATGTAACTTACCAAAATGAAAGGTCCAAAATTCTTGGGAAGCACCTTTAATGTCAATGTATCCCCCATATATATACATATTGCCCCTGTAGACCACAGCACTGTGGCCCTTCCGATTAACAGGAACTTGAACCTAGAGATGGAGAGTGAAGACAAAATGAACCAACCATCCTTAATTATCGTTGCCATCACACCAATAGAAAGCAGGCAGATATCGTAAGGCCGTGATGGCGAACCTCTGGCACGCATGCCGGAAGTGGCACGCAGAACCATCTCTCTGGGCACGCCAGCCATTGCCCATTGCTCTTCTGGGTTCCGGTGGGCCGGCCAGCTGGTCTTCACATGTGGGGGAGCGCCGGAAACCGTAAGAGCAGCAGCCCGGTGTGCATGCGCATGCAGGGAAGATGATCTTCCAGTTTCTGGCATGCATATGCGCACCGGCCAGCTGGGTCTTTGCATACGCATGCTCACCAGAAACCGGAAGACCAGGTGGCCAGTGCACGTGCGTGCCAGAAACCAGATCATCATCTTCCCTGCACATGCATGTGCAACGAGCAGCTGCTCTTCCAGTTTCTGGTGTGCGTGTGCGCCCCCGTTTTAGCACTCAGTGCCGAAAAGGTTCGCCAACACTGTCCTAAGGCATTCATGCTGGTCTACTCATATGGAAATCCTTTATGTCCTCCCCAGCACATTTTAGCAACATCCTTCAAAAATAGTGTTCCTTTCCGGTTTCTTTACATTTATCCCTATAGATCAGGGGTCTCCAACCTTGGCAACTTTAAGCCTGGCAGATTTCAACTCCCAGAATTCTGGGAGTTGAAGTCTGCCAGGCTTAAAGTTGCCAAGGTTGGAGACCCCTGCTATAGATGGAATCGCACTACTCCCACTAAAACGATTGAACATCTCCATAAATTAAAAGAATGCACATGCATATGTATGTAGATATAAAGACATAGATGGATAGAAAATAGAGAGATTCTATAAATATATTATTATATATTAAACTATATTTTGTGGAGGTTGGAGAAGAAATGACTTCAAAGTTTCCTACATCATACAGATGATGTTCTCCTACTGCTAAACAGGAAGGAAAATGAGAAGTCAAAACTGTCAAAATATAACTTTTGGCTAGGTCTGTGGAATCATGATTGTAAGGAAACAAGAGGGATCTATGCATGGATGTTCCACATTTGTTTTGCTTAGAGCCACACACAAGACCATGCCCCTTTAGAGACTAGGAATTGAATGGGGCTCTCTTGGTTGGTCTGAGTTAAGAATTGTGGTAGTGCAGATGCCTTCCGCTCCCTGAGTTTCTCCACATTTAATACAGGAAGGCTGGTAGTGCCTTTTCCAGCTAACAAAATGTATTAAAAAGCATAAGCTTTTGTGAACTACAGCTGACATATTCATAGAGTGGCTAGTCTGACGCAGGATTTAAATTGCAGGGAGGAAAGGGATGAGAAAGGAGGGAGAGACAGGTTGGTTATGGGGAAACTCCAGTAACTTTAACAAGTGAATTCAATCTGTGAAAGAATAGAATAGAATAGAATAGAATAGAATAGAATAGAATAGAATAGAATAGAATAGAATATAAATAGAATAGAATTTTTTATTGGCCAAGTGTGATTGGACACACAAGGAATTTGTCTTGGTGCATACGCTCTCAAGTGTACATAAAAGAAAAGATACATTTGTCAAGAATCATAAGGTACAACACTTAATGATAGTCATAGGGTACAAATAAGCAATCAGGAAACAATATCAATATAAATTGTAAGGATACAAGCAAAGTTACAGTCATATAGTCATAAGTGGAAGGAGATGGGTGATGGGAATGATGAGAAGATGAATAGTAGTGCAGACTTAGTAAATAGTTCGACAGTGCATACATCGCATACATAAAATTAATTGCAGCCAAAGAACCACTCTTATTTCAACATTCAGAATTAAAGAGATTCCTTTCCAAACGTGACGTGTCAATTATGTGAATGACCCAGAAAACCAAAAGCATCATCATCTTAAACTTATCCTGCTACCTCATGGCTGTGGCTCGTCTAGTCTGGAGCATACTTTTCAAAGTATGTAACTAAGCAAGCTATTTGGTCAACAAAGCAACAGGTTTCATGGATGATTCATTATATTTAGTTGTGTTATTCCTTACCACACCCGCTACTGCTGCGAACCGGCAGGCTATCCACTTGGTTGCATCTGCAGGTGTATAAAATGTCAGTCATAGCATTAACCACAAGAAGGTGCTACTGATCTGCTTGCAGTGCTATGCAAGCACTAAAAGGAGAGATTGGCAGGAAAAGTTGCAGGTTGTATTTCCTTTACCAACAACACGCAATATAAATACAGCTCCAAATACAATTCTCAAGGCAGTGAATGGCAATGTTCTCTTCATTTTAGGAACTGTTTCTAAACAGCAAAGCAAATATCACAATCTAGAGCTGCTCATGTGTGTCAGATGACGATTCCCATGATTTTTGAGCAAGTTAATGTTGAATACTACAGGTTTGAAGCCATTGAAGGGTATCAATCTAGAACAGGGGTGTCAAACAGGTGCCCGTGGGCCGGATGGGTCATGCACAGGCCACGCCTACCTCAGCTCCGTGAATGGAAAAAACGTAGCAAAACGTCACGTGATGGCAATGTTGCCGTGACGCGGCAAGTTTGATACCCATGATCTACAACAGGAGTGTCAAACTCGATTTCATTGAGGGCTGCATCAGGATTGTGTTTGACCTCAGGGGCTGAGCTGGGAGTGGCCAGGGTGCTGTGCCAGAGAAAACAGGCTCCTGTGCCCCATTTTTGGCAGTGATGGCCTCCTGCAGCCTTCTGGCAATGAAAACAGTTTTTGCCGTTTTCGGTGCTAGAAGGCTGTAGGAAGCCATTGTGGCCAAAAATGGAGCCTGGGAGGGCCGTGCACAGCGCTCCTGAGCTCCGTTTTCACAGACAGAGGCACCGCGGGCCAGTCCTTCACTGTTTCCAGGGCAGCCCCGCAGGCCAGATCTAAGCACCCTGTGGGCCGGATCCGGCCTGAGGGCCTTGAGTTTGACCCTCCTGATCTAGAAGGTTAGCTCAACTAAGGTCAATTTAGACAAAGCAATTGTCTGGCTCAGCTTCTGTGGGGAGAAAAAAGTTACAGTATCTTCTTAGTTCTCCATACAAGCATGCAAGAAGAGGAGGAGGAGACTATTATTGGTTTGATATGTTAATCTGTTCTTTATCTACAACCCTTTCCAGAATAGGTTGTACATGAATAAAAATACACTGATACAAACTAGTACATATTTATGAAATACGTGCATGAATATATCGGAAGGATAAAATCTGTCTCATTCCACACCTGTGTCATACATCCATAGAGGATTTCTCTTCTGTGTGAAACCTGAATCCACCATTCCACCAAAGATATACAGGATATCCTGAAAATACAATAATAATTTTCCAGTGAATCACATTTGCATTTTCTATATAGTTCTTTGCCATTCATGTGAGATTCAAACCAAAGTCTGAAAGCTTCATTTCTTTGTTAAGCTTAGTACAAACATCTTCAAGCTCCTGTAATGACAATATCAGGAAGCATTACAAATTACCACTTCTTTATATGTCAGTTGCACATGGTTCTATGTTCTTCTCAAATCCATTTCATCAAAAATATTCAACCATGCTTTAGTATGACTTTAGAACCCAAAAAGGGAGGCAAAGAATGGATGAATGTCCATTACTTTAATCCAGTTTCCAATCCACAATATCCACAATATCCAGTGACAGTTCACAATATTCAGTGATAGTTCATTTTTCAGCATGGATTAAAACCTAAACTATTTCTCAAATAGTTTTTTAATTTCAAAAGCCAGGTATTGGTAGTATTATGTTAATAGTGTTGTGCAAAATGCTACTCATGATTGAGTTGATTTAAGTGTTTCCCTCATTAAAACTACAATTGAAAAGCAGCACAGATGGCATCAATAGTCACAACAGATAGAGGTCACACAGATTATTGTAATTGAACAAGGTCCCTCCCTCCACCTAGACCTTCCAGGTATTTTAGATTATACCATTTGGGTCTACAAGCCAATCAAAGTGGACCTCTAGTGGATCATAACTGCTGGAAGCATTTGGTTGGCAAACATTATGGTACTGGCCTGGCAGATGATACAGTGTAAGACCCCCAGTAAAAAAGGCTTTAAATAAAATAAAAAAAAAGTGCTCCCTGAAAAGTCTTTTTGACAGCTTCTGCACAAGAGCTACTGTTTCAGAAGGTTTTTTTTAAAAGTGGCCTTTAAAAAATGTATTTCATTATTCCTCTAAGCAAGGGGCCCAACCTCAGCAACATTCATCATTCCCTCTCTAAGTCAGCTGTATCACAGCTGTAGTGATAGTAAAAGGTTATAATTGAGACCATGTAAACAAGAGAAAAGTGACAGGCAACAGAGTTTAGGTGTGCTTATTCTCTCCCTTTCTAAATGCACACATTTGAAGAAATCCACTTTGGAAACTGAAGAGGGTCCTAGCCTCTTCTTTTGACAACTCTCTTATAATAGTTTAGCTCACTTGCAGGAAATCCTGCTACAGGAAGAGATCAGCTTCGGCTGCTAAAACAACAACAAAAACCCCCAGACATTCCTAACTTGAAGCAGGGGGATACAGAGTAGGCCCATTATCAGATTGAGCCACACTAGAACAATTCATTTGACTAGGACTAAGGTGAACCCAAGAGTCACCGTCGGTTATAAAACTCCCTGACCAACCTAACTCATAGGATTAGAGGATGTCCTTGAGTTCCCTCAAGAATGGCAGAATATAAATCTATGCAATATAGCCATAAGAACAAATAAGCCAATGAAATGCCAGTAAAAGGGGAAAACAATCTACAGGTAGCCCTCAACTTTCCACTGGATGTTTAACAACCATTCAAATTTATGACAGTCTCTGAAAGGGTGTTTTATAACCCACAAAGCATTTCCAGCTCTGCCTATTGTAAAACATGGTGTCATCCCTGTCATATGATTGCATTTCAGCTCACATTTAGTTTGATTGGAAGCCATTCAAGTTGATCATAAGATAGCAATAGCACCTAGACTTAGATATAGCTTCACAGTGCTTTACAGCCCTCTCTAAGCGGTTTACAGAGTCAGCATATTGCTCCCAACATTTTACGCACCTCAGAAGGATGGAAGGCTGAGTCAACCTTGAGCCTGGTGAGAAACAAACTGCTGAACTGCTGGCAGCTGGCAGTCAGCAGAAGTAGCCTGCAGTACTGCATTCTAACCGCTGCACCACCAAGATTGGTGACATGACATGGTCATGTGACCATGGGATACGGTAACTGGTTGTCAATGTATTTATTAATGTAAAACTTATAAAGTTTTACATTAATAAATAAATTGACGACCAGTTACCGTATCCCATGGTCACATGACCCATGATTTGCAATGATTTTTTTTTGCCAGTTTCCAATATTATTTACTAGTTTTGGGGGGGGAAACCCATCCATTTAGTAGAATGGATTTGCTTAAGAACAACATGATTCATCTATTGGCCATATGATTCAGACTTACAATCACATGATTTGCTTAATGACCATGGTAGAAATGTCCCGAAAATCTGCTCTAGTCATATGGGTACCTCAACTTACAACTGCAATCAACTACAAATGAAATTCCAGTCCCAATTGTGATCGTAAATTGGGAATTCCCTGTAAAGTGATTTATAGCTAATATAGCTTGCCTGATAATCCACCATTGTGTGCTCTTCCAGTTCTTCTGGGCCATCATTTGAATTTTCCAGTTCCTCCCATTCATTACTCACTGCAGTAGAAAGAAAGCATATGATAACATCAATGCAGCTTTTTGATTAGCATTTGCACTTGCTCTCTTTGGAAATTACAATTTTAGTAGCAGAATCTGCAAATCAAATCACATCCTGGATGAATGGGTTAGGGTTAGGGTTTGGGGTTGTAGCACCCTGAAAAATAGGTCCAATTTTTTACCCTTCCCGAACACTTAGCTAAACATGCATTTCAAATACCTCCTGACATCTTTTTCTTTTTTGTCCCACTAGCTATCTGCAGAGAAATATAGAGGGAATAACATCAGAACACAAGTGTTTGACATTAGAGAGGGAGGAGAAGAATTGGCTCAGTTACTCCTTTTGGCTGCAGACTTGTGCATTTTGAAAACGTCACTTCAGCCCTATGTTCTTGGCAACAGTCAAGTATCCTGTGAAGTCCCGGGGTTTTCATGTTGTAATCAAGTCTTCATAAAATCCAATTTGGACCATTTCCATTCCCACTATGAAACGAACGTCCCTCTATTCCAGATATAAAGCTATTATTCTATTACAGGTAGTCCTGAACATATGACTACAATCGAGCCCAAAATTTGCACTGCTAAGCAAGACAGTTGTGAGTTTTGCTCCATTTTACAACCTTTCTTGCCACAGTTTGTTAAGTGAATCCCTGCAGGTGTTAAGTTAGTAACACGGTTGTTAAGTGAATCTGGCTTGTGGAAAAAAAGATCGTAAGTCACTTTTTTTTTTTTTTGGTGCTGTTGTAACTTCAAACAGTCACCAAACGAATTGTTGTAAGTCCAGGACTACCTGCATAGCAGTCTACCATTTTATGTCAGCTTTGGAAGCCATATTAGGCCAGAAGCTCCAATGCTGCCACCTTCTCATGTGTGGGAAAATAGGAGAGGGGGTTAGTAGACATAATAGCATTCTTCCTGTCGGTCAAGGTCAGGGAGATCCGGTATCTGGAGGAAGAGTGATCAGGGGCTGGGTCGAGGTGAAACGGACGTTGATTGGAGCATGTGACCGACTGGGGAGAAAGGGGTTGGTTTTGGGAGCTCTGACTTACTGAAGGAAAACCCGGGCTTTTCAGATTCGGGTTTTCCCAGATGTGCCAGTTTGCCTATTCTAGTAAAGAGAACTTTGGAAAATGCTTGCTTCTGCGTCTTTACTTGGAGTTGGGTTTTTTTCTGGAACGCTGACATTTTAGATACTACACAAGTAGCTGAAAAAGTAACTTAAATGCAGTCTTGCTGGATTATATCATTGAGGCCAGTCTGTTTCCAATAAGAATTAGCTGGTCACCTCTTCATGGTTGCGAAGGCAACAAAAACAGTATATAAAAACGGATTTGATAACCGATTCATAGTTATAGCTATATAACACCTCATTAAATATCTAATTAGATTATTAAAATACTCCAGATTATCTTGATTGAAATGAAAAAGCCATTACAGAAAAAGCCATTACCTCTGCCTGGTGGCCATTTCAAAAACAACAATACATTCCAACAGGATTGCATGATTGTAGCTTTAGGCATTTCTTCTCATGGCCTAAAAAAACCAGAAAGAGCATACTTTACCTATTTTGAATCTCCAGAAATCACTCAAACTAGTATTTCTCCGGCCACCATAAACATAAAGGAATCCCCTACAGATGCAGCAAGCATGTTTGTATCGATCGCAGGGAGAAATTTTGCTCTGTTTCACTGGGTTCCATGAAAATGCTGTTTTCCTTTTCATCCCTGTGTTAGCTGGAAAACACACCCATGTGGAGATGACGTCCTCCAAACAGTAGCTCCAAGCTAAAAAGGAAACAAGAGTTAAGAATGGAGACAGGGAGGCTACCGCAACCATTTCTTTAATTTGCTTATTAACTGAATTGGCATAGGCTTACCAAAAGTGACTCTGGATGGATAAAAATGACATATATGAAAAATGTAGACGACCACATTAAGAATTAAATAGTATTAAAAAAACCCAAATATACTGTAGAGGACGGTTGTCAAACTCGCTGCGTCACGTGACGTTTCATTATGTTTTCCCCCTTCGCGGAGCTGGGTTGGGCATGGCCTGCGCGTGACACATCCAGCCCACAGGTCGCTTTACTGTAGAGGATAAAAATGAGCACCACAATAGAACAATCTGGACATATCTCCGGCTTCCTTTACATGATGGAAACATTACTGAGAGTAAATGTGTTGTCTATGATGTTAAATATATCATATGAGCGGAGAGAAATTGGCCCTGTTCATACAATATAGCATGTTTTATTATAACTAGTGTTGCAGTGGACTGGAAACAGTTAATCCCAGGGACAGGAAATTAACAGCTCTGATTAATAGCCTCGGGAAATACCCTGCTTCCAATAAAAAAAGTCAGCAAGTACCCTGCTTTCAAATGAAAGTATTTATATATGCAATCAAATGAAGGAAACAAACTTATTTTAGTGCAAAGGAAAAACCTGTTTCTTTTTGTATAGTAAAGGAATCTGCATCTGTATACACACACATACACACACACACACACATATATACATACCAGTGGTGGGTGGCTCCCAGTTTGCCCCGGTTCGGGCAAACCGGTAGTGGCAGGGGTGGGAGACTCCGCCCACACGCCATCAAAAACGCTCTGCACATGCATACTGAGAGCGAACCGGTAGCGCCAGGATTTGAAACCCACTACTGATACACACACGTACATATATATATGCAATAACCAATAACCAGTATTCTTCCTATCAATAGGAGAACACATTAATTTTTACAGCAACGTTATTTTGTGATGCAAAACCCCAACCTGAAAATTCACTCAAAAGCAATTGTTGTCTCCTGTTAATACAATTGGGATGGTGGTCGTTTCAGTGCAAGATGGGCCAAGTTCAATAAAACACAATTTCGGTCATGTGTAAAGAATTAAAGGGCAAAAGCATATCCCACTGCAAGTAGTTCTTGACTTATGACCCCAATTGAGCCCAAAATTTCTGTTGCTGAGTGAGATATTTGTTAAGTGAGTTTTGTCCCATTTTACAGCCTTTTTTGCCACGGCTGTTAGATAAATCACTGCAGTTGTTAAGTCAGTGACACAGCTGTGACCTGACTTCCCCATTGATTTTGTTTGTCAGTTATACCAAACTGCTGGTATAATTTTTCTCATGAAAAAATGGCATTGTATTGGTGCCAACAATTACACAATGTACTAAGTCACCCCGTAAAACCAGTTCTTGGTTTCTATAAATACATTGGCAAAGCAACAATGGGAGAGCCTTCTCTGTGGGGGCACCTGCCCTATGGAACGAATTGCCCCCGGAGATAAGGAGGATTCCAGATCTACGCACCTTCCACCGCGCCCTCAAGACCTTTCTATTCCAACAAGCCAGGCTGGCCTAACTCTTTTAATTGAGTAATTTAGTTCTTAATTTGATTTTAAATTGGGAGTGTTTAATTGTCGTGGGCCAATATTATTTAATTTGTTTTAAACTATTTTTAAATTTTGTATTCTATGTATTTTTATCTTCGGCCCTGAGTCCTTCGGGAGAAGGGCGGTATATAAATTTGAACAATAAATAAATAAATAAATAAACAATGGCCCAAAATGATCTAAACACGTTTTTGTGTGTGTGTGTGCTATTATAATTACACATGTTCCTCAACTCTCTTTTGAGCACTGTTGATGGTTTTGTGCTTTAGCATATGGTTAAATTGACTGCCATTTTTAATATTGTCATACATATTGTTTTCTCTTACTGACATTGAATTGTTTTTTCACCGTATTACTGTTCTAATTATAGAAAAGTTGTGTGAAATGTTTAAAGAAAATACAAGTAGTCCTAGACTTACAACCACAATGGAGCTCAAAATTTATGTTGCTAAGCAAGGCAGTTGTTAAGTGAGGTTCACCACATTTTTGAGGAGTTTTTTTGCCACAGTTGTTTAAGCCAATCATGTAATCATTAAGCAAATCCCCCATTGACTTTGTCAAAATCCAGTTAGGAAGGTTACAAATAGGGATGATCACATGACCCCAGGACAGTATAACTGTCATAAATACAAGTCAATTGCTGAGTGCCCAAATTTTGAGCACATGACCATGGGGATGCTGCAAAGGTTGTACTAAATGTGAAAAATGGTCATAAGTCACTTTTTTCAGTGCCATTGTAACTTTGAATAGTCACTAAACAAATGGTTGTAGGTTGAGGACTACCTGTATTACCAATTGTGATACCTTACCAATTGTGATACCGTATCTGAGGACTAATTAATTCATGCTTCTTTTCTTAAAAATGTATCAATTCACTTATATTGGTATCTTTCCCAAGAAAAGATAGAAGAAGATAGATAAAAGATAGAATTCTTTATTGGCCAAGTGTGATTGGACACACAAGGAATTTGTCTTGGTGCATACGCTCTCAAAGTACATAAAAGAAAAGACACGTTCGTCAAGATTCATAAGGTTCAACACTTAATGACAGTCATAGGGAAACAGTCAATATAAACCTTAAGGATACCAGCAGCAAGGTTACAGTCATACAATCATAAATGGGAGGAGATGGGTTATGGGAACGATGAGAAGATTAATAGTAATGCAGACTTAGTAACTAGTTTGACAGTGTTGAGGGAATTATTTGTTTAGCAGAGTGATGGTGTTCGGGAAGCTCTTCAGCTATTAGAGAATTATAAGCTTCTTTTTTTTAAAAAAAAAATCTACAGTTCTTAAAAATAAAGCTGGGGTTACATGTCATTTTATAGCACTGTTATGCTACATTACACTTTACAATCCACTTAGCTAACATGACATCTCTTTTCAAAACAAAACTTTTTTGGGACACACTTAAGTGCAATTAATTGCTTTTCATCAATGAGCTGTCTGAGAAATAACTACTTCAAGCTTTTAACTAATGGACAAAATATATATATACTGTGATGCCCCCCCCAATTGGGGGTCCAAGTTAACTGGCAGAGCCAGGTTTTTAGGCTCTTCAGAAAGGTCAGGGTTCATTGCATTGTTCCAAATCTGGGATTTCTAGCAAGCCAGCAAAGGCTTCTCTCATCAGGACTAGATAAAGAAAAGACCTGCTCTGAAGTGAATTCTTATAGCTGTCCCTGAGGAGCTCTGCTGATGTAGTGATATGTGGGAATGACCCTGAGGGTTGCTGGGAAGGGAGAAGCAGCTGCCTACGGATAAGAGAGGGCAGAGTCACAAGCGCATAACAGGCAGAGAAAGAAACTCAGAAAGACTTATCAGGCTGTAGCAGAGACAGTGGGAGATTTGTATTTTCAGACTTGCAAGAGTCCATTAATGTGGCCTTACAATTAGCTCATCTAGACAGGTTTCCTATTCAGTCTACCTAGGAAAACTGACTGCTGCACTTCCATAATTTTTCATGTTCTCTTTGCAAGCAGCTCTCCTCTCCTAAGCAAGGGGCTCCACTTACAATTACCATCTCACTATTTTTATGCAAGCCAGGTCAATTTACTCATATCCTTACAAATTATAGCGGGGGGGGGGGGGGGGGGGGGAAAAAAAATATAAATAAAATTTCATTTTTTAATTTTTACTGCACTCATTTTCTGAATGGCAGGTAACCAAAGGACTGAAAAATTCTGTTAAAATTAATCCTATAGAAGGATTAATCAAGATAATCCTATAGAAAGGGACATGGTGGTTCAGTGGCTAAGACGCTGAGCTTGTCAATCTAAAGGTCGGCAGTTCAGCAGTTCAAATCCCTAGTGCCGCATAAGGAGGTGAGCTCCTGTTACTTGTCCCAGCTTCTGCCAACCTAGCAGTTCGAAAGCACGTAAAAAATGCAAGTAGAAAAATAGAGACCACCTTTGGTGGGAAGGTAACAGCGTTCCGTGCGCCTTTGGCGTTTAGTCATACCGGCCACATGACCACAGAGACGTCTTCAGACAGCGCTGGCTCTTTGGCTTTGAAATGGAGATGAGCACCACCCTTAGAGTCGGGAACACTAGAAATCTATAGAAATCCTTTTTGTCATTTCCTGGTCCAATCTTCAGCCCTGGGATTTCCTGATGTTCTACCTCTGAGCTACTAATCAGGTCCAACACTGCTCAGCCGTTCCAATATCAGCAAAAGTCATCTGGCTCCGGCCACATATAGTGACCAGTTTAAAAAGAGGACTCTAATTCTATAAAGATAAGATTTATTAAGGTCCTTCATCCTAAAGAATTAGAAAGCTCTGAGAAATGTTCTGGTTTGTTTTGATCTCTGGAAGGAGGACGGAGATTTACCCCTGAATAACTTCCCCTAAAAACAGGATCACTGCTCAGCTTCTACTTTAAAGTCACACAGAATTAGGACAGTATCTGGATTTATTTCTGCAAAAGGGCAGAATTGGCATAGCCCCATGGCAGCAGAGTGGGGAGAATCACTGGAGTCTACCAGCATCTGTCATTCTTTTGTTCAAACATGTGTACCCCCCAAAAGCACTTTAGAGGAAGTTATATCCAACTCCCGCATACATAAGCACATGCATACTAGGACAAGCTGTGTCTCTTTGGCCCCCAAAAGAATATACTGTATTGAGGTCATTAAGGTCAAAAGCTTTATAGACAAGCCCAGGCAGTAAAGATTAGAATAGCTCATGCAAACTATTTAATCCATCAACCACTTTTAGAGCTGCAATATGTGATATGGCAAGGGATCCAATAACAAGTAAAACTGACCAGAGAAAAATGTTCGGGGTATTCACCAAATAAGCTTCAAAAACTGTTTTCTCAGGAGCTACCGTATTTTTCAGACTATAAGATGCACCTGATTATAAGATGCACCTAAATTTAGAAAAGGAAATCAACAAAAAAGTTTTTGGCCTCCACACATCGCATTTTCAGGCCTTTTTTCAGGCCTTTTCCAGCCTTTTTTTTTTTGGCCCATTTTCAAGGCTTTTTACAGCCCATTTTTGAGGCTTTTTCCAGGCCGTTTTTTCCAAAAAAAATTGGCCAAAAAAAAGCCTTGAAAACAGGCCCAAAAGGCCTCCAAAACTGGCTGAAAAAAGCCTCAAAAACGAGCTGAAAAAAGCCTCAAAAACGGGCCAAAAAAGCCTCAAAACAGGCCCAAAAGCCTCAAAATAGGCCCAAAAAAGCCTCAGAAATGGGCTGAAAAAAGCCTCAAAAATAGGCCAAAAAAAAGCCTCAAAAACAGGCAGAAAAAAGCCCCAAAAATGTCCCCCCCCAAAAAAAGGCCTGAAAAAGGCCGAAAAAAGGCCCGAAAATGGGGCGTGCAGAAGCAAAAAAACCCGGCTGGCAGGTGGGCAGGCTTTGGCAATATTCGGTCTATAAGATGCACAGACATTTTCACCCCATTTTGGGAGACAAAAAAGTGTGTCTCATAGTCCAAAAAATATGGTATTATATTTGTTGCTTCTAAGGTAGAAAGATGCAATGGTGTAAGAAATCACTAAGTATGATTCATCCCTTTCTGTTCCTCTTTCTCTCCAGGTTTTTTCTTTTTAAATTTAAAAAAAATTATCAATTACTGTACACGCTTAATATAAAGTTAACTGGAACCACCAAACGTTTGCAAATTTCTTCTTCTTATTTTGTATCAGCAATACACAAGGAGATGAAAATAAATTTATTCAAAAGATAGGAGGTGTTTGAAGCTAAAATACAGATGGCACTGTCTTTGTTGCAAAAAAAATGGAAAATATCTAAGATGAACAATTCTAAAAAAGGAAAGTGAAAAGGTTGGGGCTTTCTTTGAACATCAAGGAAACAAAGATCAAGAGAAAGAATGATGAATAAAAAGGATATAAACTCATGAACTACTGTGACATTTCAGACAAAATTTAGAATGGTCCACATACACTGGGCTTATATCAACGGATGAACAAATTTAGGAAAAAGATTTGCCTCCTGCAATGCTGGAAGAAACTGCTTCACACTTATTGAACAACCCAAAGGACCAACCAGAGTATTAGAGGAAATCAATCTCAGATGTTCATTAGAAGCAAGGATCTCAATACAAAAGCCATGTTAGACACATCATGAGGGCTAATAGAAAAGATAATGCTGGACAAGAATGGATTGAAGGAGAAACCAACAGCACACGAGGGGGTTAGGCAGAGCATAGGAAGCTATACAAATGCACCTTCAAGAACTCTATAATAGCAATAGCACTTAAGACTTATATACGGCTTCAAAGTGCTTTACAGCCCTCTCTAAGCAGTTTACAGAGTCAGCATATTATCCCCAACAATCTGGGGTCCTCATTTTACCAATCTCAGAGGGATGGAAGGCTGAGTCAACCTTGAGCCTGGTGAGAATTGAACTGCCAAATTGCAGTCAGAACTAGCCTGCAATACTGCATTCTAACCACTGCACCCCCATGGCTCTAATGCAGTGATTCTGACATACAACTGGAGTGTAATATATGTTTTTTTGGCTATTCAGTAAGAGGCAGAACAACCTGGAGAGCTTTTATCCATAGATAGTCACCAGGAATCAACTACAGCTCTAAAGAACGTAACAATGACAAATTCATGTTTAGTCACGCTGATGAAGGGATTCATTTATGTATTTATCAAATTCATTGGCCACCGATCTTACTACAGAGTAATTCCATGGCATCTTGGGCAAGCATTATTTCTCAAGCTAAATTTCCCCCCAGAATTTGATAACTCGATAGTAAATTATATGGATAGTAAAGTTCTACCAAAAGAAAAGTTCTACAGAATGTCAATAGTCCTCAATCCCAAAAAAATGAGAAGGAGGCAGTCCAGCATGAATTAAAGCCAGTTTGCAAGTTTCTTATTATTTCACTTTTGTTTTTGTAATTCTGACTGACATGGTATCAGATTTCCTCTTCAGTAAGATAACAGTACATATTTACCAACAGAGAGTAAATTCAGTGTGAGAACTCATTTTAAAATACACAGCATTTTGTCTTTTGCCCTTTCCTGAACAGCAAGACATTCTCAGAAGGTGCTTCTGGGCTTTCTCGGAATATTCCAAAATACCTTATACTTTGCACCCAATAAAAAAATCTGAGGGCTGCAAAAGGTCTCTGGGGATTTCAGCTCTGGAGCTTGTTTTTCATACCAGGGCTCAGCTGTTGAACATGAGAAGCAATAGGGGAAGGAAAGGTCATCCACTCGCTAATAAATGTCTATAAGCAGCTGCCACATACATCTAGGTTTTGGGTAGAGGGGTAGATATTCCCCATAGAAGTTGAAAGTTAAGAGACACCCCAATACAAATTTGCATTCATTTAACAGAGCACTGCTTAAATATCTCGCAGTGCTAGAAAACTGCAAAGGCATGCTGCAAAGTGCAAGTAAAAGGGCAGATATTGGAAGAAATCAGTGATTTTCTCCCCCATTATCCTTTAAACTCAGCAGTATGGGAGCAAGCAGGAAAAGGAGGTGATCTTTCACAACTCAACCAACACAATGGAAGGGGCGGAACAGTCAGTTATGAAAGAAAAAAAAATGATATTACACTATTTCCTTTTTGAAAATTCCTCTGAAGTTGAAGGAAATGAAGCCTTAACTACACAAATGCAATAGCGCTCAACGGGTGCTCTGAAGACCCCTGGAGGTCCTCCTGGATCTGCAAAATCAAATAACTATTTTAAAACGTTTCCATTTTTAATTTCTAATGCACCACCATCAATAAATGTACCCCACATAAGCCAAAGTCCTCAATCACTTTTGAGAAGGTAAAAGGGGTCTTTGGATCAAAAAGTTTTGACAGCGGCTAGAGACTAATGCAACCTTTCACCCACCCACCCTCAAAACTAATTATTGCAAGAGATCACACAACGTCCATCACCCTCCTGTTTGGGAATGATAGGAGATGCACTGTAGGTTGGAGAAGCTACCAGGTGGATGGGATGCACCCTCCACCCCCCCACCCTCCACCCTCCAAGAAGATCTGATGGCTCGCGGAGGTTTCCTTACTTCTGCATGAAAATTCAGAGGGAAACCAATTCAAAAAAGGCAGAAAAATCGAGAGACACAAGCGCTCCGGGAAAAAGAACGTGTGAATAAGCTCCCCCATCTATCACGTTTTTAAAAAAGAGGGGGGAGAAACCAGAGGCGAGCATTTAGTCATCGACGCGCGGAAAGAATCCAGTTTTAAAGTTAAAGTGGTGGGGGGGACCCTGATTTTTCACCATTTACACAACCCCCATCACCACCCCCGTCACAACACATACCGTTGCAATCGGTTGCCGCCTTGCATGCCCTCGGCAAGCCGCTCGCCTCTCAGGCCAACCCTTTGCCGTTTCCTTGCGGGTTTTCCCCCCCCCCCCGCCGCCGCCTCCCCGCAAAAAACCGCCCCCCCCCCCCCCCCCCCCCCCACCCTCCTCCGCTATCGCCGCCTCCTTCAGCCTCCGCCGCTGAGGAGGCGCTCGGAACGAACCGCTCGCCCCCGACTCCAAGGCCCCGCGCGGGACAGACACGCCGCCCACGTGGGCAGCGACTGGCTGAAGGCGCGGGAACGCGCGACTTCGCCTTTTTTTTATTTATTTTATTCCCCCTCTCCACGCTTCGGGTGGGAGGGCGCCGTTCTACGCATAGGAAAAGGACGTTTGATAAGAGCGGGGAGTGGGGAAATGTACCGATTACACGGCGAGGGTTTTGGCACGTCAGGATGCGCCCCAAGCGGGTCAACCCGCGTTTTTTTGTTTTTTGTAGTTCTACTGCGTCTGGGGAACGCATCCTCTGTGATTTGGTAGGTCGTAAGAACCTTAGAAACGCAGGTCCGAGAAATAAGGGATTCCGACCGTGGGCAAGCACAGCATGCAAAATACGTTCCCTAGCCGGAATTCACGGAATTCACGTGTCACGGAGACCCACCCCTCCCCAATGTGCTTTGGTTTTTTTGGCGGTACCTTTTTGTGGGAACGTAGCTATCGTCAATCACTCGTCGTTAAGCAACCCTCCCTTTGCTTGTCATTGGGGATTTAATTCCAGGAAGGCTTTCTCAGCCACTCCGATCCTTAGTCATTGTTGATCTTGGCGTCTTAAGATATCTGAGGAGTTAAGACACTCTCGGAATTCAAGGAAGTCTTCCTTTTCCAAGTGAAAACGCTCGCGCATTCCTGACACGCATAAACTTGGAAGAAAGCCTCCACGGAGCTCGGGGCCAATAGCGGAGCCTTTCCCAGTTGCCTTAGCTGAAATGCTGCCCACCCACAGCCTCCAGCTGGCATAAAACCCAGAGAACTGGGACGTTGTGATGGGTGTTTCTCTGATTAAACTTAGGGTTTTGTTTTGTTTTGTTTTGTTTTGGCACGGAAACCCGCTCCCAAAGATACGTACGTAGCAGTGCATTTTACGATTAAGTTACCCTTTAAAAGATGAAGCCAAGTAAGAGCAGTGACAAAACCTCACCCCTAGGAGTACTGCCAAGAAAGAGAATTTGAGAACTCTTGCACTTCTCAAGATGTACGCCTTGTATATGCATAGATTTGGTCTTTTTTGTTTAAAGCAGGATCCCTCAGTCTTTTGCAGCCCACAGGCAAGCGTTTTATTTTTTAAAACTACGGAATGTGCAACTGCAAAATAGCTTCTCTGAAACTGTGATTAATTCCAACTGGTTTTGAAAATCCACTTATTTGCTCAATCCACAATATAACATTAAGCCATGATAAGGCTTGTTTGGTTTGGTCTGAATGTGTTGTGATTTGTAAACTCTAATTTGTGGTATTACTGAAGGCACTGTATCTTATTCAACAAACCATGTTTTGGTATCATGCTGATGATATCTAGCTTTGTATGTCCACCCTTGGCAAATTAAGAAATGCTAAATATTGATGTCCTGTTCTGTGGCTGGAGGATATTCTCTTTATAGAGAACAACAGGCTTCATCTGAACCCTAGCAAGACCAAGTGCCTTTGAGTTTGGGGGCTGTTGGTTACAGGGATTTAGCATATTAGGTTCTGGATGTGGTGGCACTGCCCTAGACAGACCAAATGTGCAATCTGAGGCTTCTCCTAATTCATGGTTCCTGCTCAGAGCAGTCGTGGCCAGGAGGTCCTTTGTGCAATTCCATGTTTCCACAAGATGCATTAGTTGCCCGTATGCTTGTGGGTTCAATTCAAGGGGCTAGTTATGACCTATAAAGTATGGCATGGGATGGATTATTTGACAAACCACTTCTTCCTGGTTACATCTACCCATCCCATCACAACCAGCAGGAGAGGCAGGATATAGGTGTTTCCTACAGAACTGGCTGTACCCAGGAAGATATATTTTTCTACCCTACACCTGCCTGGGGCTCATCACCCCAGATTTTAGATTGGCCTTGATATTCCCAGTCTTTCCATTCCCACCCCACTCTGGGGCCAGCCAGAGGTGGTATTTGCCGGTTCTCCGAACTACTCAAAATTTCCGCTGCCGGTTCTCCAGAACATATCAGAACCTGCTGGATTTCACCGCTGATTTGGGGGAATTTTCTAGTCTAGTCTACTTCAGAGGGATAACATTGTGCAAATCAGATTTTGTGGTTTGTAAGCCATGAATAATAGTTTAGCAAACCCAGCCAATGATAATGTATTAAATAAGTGCTGGTTGGGTAAATCAGGATTGGCTATAATAGGAAAACTGGTTTAATTTTAACTGATTATTGTATCAACCAGCAATAATATTCTAACCTGTTTATCTTTTTAACATACTTACATTTTTTTTTAAAAAGAGCCAAAATTGCTCTCAGGTGAGCCCTGGTATTACCTAAAGATAATACACCTCTCAACAAAATCTATTTCCTATAAGCAAGAATCAGGTGGAGCATAATCAGCAATCATTCAATAATCACTTTAGAAACTTTTTTCAGTTTGCTGTTGGGAAATTATTTTCTTCTTCCTGCAAGATGCATCAAAACTGAAACTGCACAATCTCTTTTAAAAATTGAGAGAATGAAGAGCTGGGACAAAAAAAAAAAAAGAGAGAGAGAGAGAGAGAGAGGAATGAACAACTGAAAGCATGTAATGACAACAAACACTGATGACTGACTAGCTTCAAAGGAAAGTTTCCCCTTGTAAGGTTTCCATTATTTTTTCCAATAATCAGCCAATGTTGCAGCCTGGTGAGAATTCTCAGCTGGGCAAAAATGTTTGCTCCCTTGATACCCTGGCAGGAATCTCACCTGGACACGGGGAGGGGGGAGTGCGCGCAAAGTGACATTACCCCATTGTAAGTTGGAGACATGGGGAGATCACACCAGTTCAGAGCAGAAGAAAATCTAGCATTTTATTTAGGTAGTCCTATTATTACCAATTACCAAGCATTTATCTAACTATAGATAAATTTGTGCGACATGCTTGCCCTGAGCTGCAAGGGGCAGTTGATAATGTCATATGAAGATCACAGGCCAGTCTGCACTGGAGTTAGTTAACCCTTCTAAACAGTAAACCAGTCTAGAAAGTCTGTCCCTCATTTAACTTTTTATACATGTGCCCAATGGCACAACTCAGTGAAATGCGCAGAGAAAGATGGAGTATGGCACTGACTCCAATCACAATCTGTCTGGACAGATCATCCAAAGTTGTGTGCTTTGATGCACAAAGTTAGGTTGTTATTCAAGAGGGTGATTGACAGGGTCAATCAGGTTGTGCAAACGGAGCCAAGGACTGTTGGGAGGAAAAGGACTGGGGGGGGGAAGGGTTTGAGTTTACTTTATTGATTAGCCCATAGGCCATATCAAAGTGCAGAGTTCCAAATACAAATTGTTACTAAAATTCAATAAAAACAATTTAAAATGGAATTGGAATAAAATACAATTTAAAATGAAATTGGAATAAAATATGATAATTTAATATATAGATATATTTCAGCATCACCCCTATAATCTATCCCAATCAGTCCCACATATGCCAATCTCAACTGAACCATTTTGCTCAAGTACTGTGCCGTATTAAATGTTGTTTTCAAATTCTGGCCCCACATAAATAAATTGTTTTAATATTGGGTTCCCAAAGGTTCATTCGGTTAGTATATGGGCGAAGGTATCTGTCTCTAACACTCTTATATAGGCCACAGTCAAATAGGATGTGAGCTAGATCTTCTACCTCTGCCACTCTGCAAATGCAGAGACGTCCATATAATATAGAATGGAATAGAATGGGGTATAGAATGTAATCTCCTGTATCTGACCATTGTGTCAAGCTGTTTGAATCTCGCATAAGTATCTCCATAAGATGTTTTGGCAATTGTAACTTTAAATAGTTGTCTATTTGAAAAGTACATTTATCGGCCGTTTTTGGCCTGTTTTTGACTGGCAGAGTGCTGCAGGAGGCCATGGAGGGTGAAAACGAGGCGCGATGGGCCGCACACAGTCCGTTTTAGTCACCAGAAGCACTGCGGGCCGGTCCTTTGATATTTCCAGGCCGGCCCCGGGGCCCAGATTTAAGCACTCCGTGGGTTGGATCCGGCCCTGGTCTAAAGCCTGCTTGTTTTTCTGCAAGGATATGTTTTTCCTCTACCAAGATTTCAATTCTATTGAAAAAGAACCTAGTATCAATCAGTCAATCAGACCAATGACTGGATTGCTCTAGCCCAGTTATCAGCATTCTTTGTTTTAAGACTGTCTGATATTGCCTTTGTATCAACTTTAGCCCAAATTAACCTTTTATTTTGGCTTACCTCTAAGTTTTTAGTGAGCCATCTGTTGGCCATGTTATATGATCTTAAATCTGAGCAACCTCGTAATGTGATGCTCATAGGCTGATGGTTACTTTCATCACCTAAATGTACAGTAAACTCTGAAAAGGGGTCAACTTTATCTCTTGAAACACAGAAGAGATTTTGCACACTACTTGAGTGGGCTGAGTTATAAGTGTAAGATACATAACTTATATGTAGTTATTGCCCTTACCTCCCAAGATTTGAAGATTACCTTTAAAAATGAAAGAGACAAGGAGCAGACCAGCAGTATTACTTTTTTTTTTTTGAAATTTTTATTTTATTTTTAAACAAAACATAAAACCTAAATCCATCCTCCATTACAATTGCAAACAGTGTGTCGGTCGGTTACAAATCTTTTGTGCTTCATCTCTATATTCAAAATTCCAACGCAAGATGAAGTTATTAAGAAAATCATGGAATGTGCTGAAATGAGTAAATTGACATTTGAAATTAGAGAGCAAGAAGATAAACAATATTATAAGATATGGGATTTATTTTATCAATGGCTAGATAAGAAAGCATAGAAATGAAATATGAAACATCAAATGAATGTTATAAATATAATATTTGAAAATAATTTTTTTGAAGCGGTAAAGCCATAGTTAAATAAATGATAAAAGGATATATATTTGTTTGACAATATGAGAAATTAGATAATTAGTAAATTTTGAATATAGAGATGCAGCAGTATTACTTTTGTTGTCTCTAGAAAACTACTGAGGATGATTATCAAGAAATTCCTTTGGGAATCCTTTCTTTTGAGCAAACTCATGGAAGATGAACCTAATTTAGCATTAAAATCTCCAAGCAATATAATTATGGTTTGAGGATACAGTATGGATATATCATCTAATATGACTTCTAAACATGTCCAATAGTCAGGGTTATAAAGAGGGATATATTTGGAGGAATGTATACATTTACCAATATTAATTCAAACTCCTCATATCTAAATTTCATAGCTGTAAAATATGAAAAACTTATCTTCATTACATAGTTTCTCCCCCTGCCACTGCAATTCTTGCTTAATAAAAATACATAGTCCACCAGAGGATCACCCCTTATTCTTTGTTTTTCGGGCACGGGAAACCCATCTCTGGAAGGCCAGAAGTTGTACTAATTTGTCCTCTTCAGTTAACCAGGTTTCCTGGATGGCTATGACATCAAATTTAGATAGGAAACTCACTAATTCACTGTCAACCACTTCTTTCCAGCCAGCTATGTTCCAAGTCACAATTTGTATAGGACTCTCGTAAGCAAGATATTCTGACTGGGTTGGTTGACTAGGGAATGAGGGTACCAAATGTCAACTTGTTTTTGGAGCTGGATCAATATTGACACTGCTTCCTGTGTAAACACAATTATTATAAAATTCAATATTTCTTCTCATAAATTGTAATTGTTGC